CAAAATAAATGTTTAGAAGATGTAAGTGAAGATTTACTATGAATGCATCTGATCCCACTCACTCAGATTGCCACCACTAGGATAGTTTTGAACCAAGGCATCCTGAAGCAGTGAAAAGGACAGTTACACCTACAGAGGTTCCTCCTTGACTTTCCGTGACCCTGACCTGCAATATCAGCAGTGTCATGGTTTATCACTGCTTATGTGACTAACAAAGCCCATCTTTGTTGCCTGGTCCTGTCGCAGGCTTTGCAGCTGGCCAGAGCTGGTTAAGACCTCCTGCTGCCTGGGTAGAGCCACCACGGAGGGGTCCCTGTGGCAGCACTGCCTTCTCTTCAGGGCCTTCCTTTCAGAATGAAGACAGTTTTGACTGCTTAGCCTTGTGCTGTGCATGAATCTTCCGCTGCTCCACTGATGCTTTGGGCCTGTCTAAGGGAGTGGGGCCCAAAGGCACACAGAGCATCTCATTTGTTGTCAGGAATGTGCTCTTTTGAACTGAATCTCCTGATTCCTGGGTTTACATTCAAGGCAGACTCAAAATATATGACTTGTTTTTCTCTTGGATGATGTCAAACAACATGTGCCCTGAAGTGTAATGTGAGTTTAGTCTAGTGACCAAGTTAGAAATAGTCCAAAGTAAAACTCTGAAACCTGCGTGCTACAGATACCAGAAGCTTAGCACCAACACTTTCGCTGTACAGATCCTATCCCACCAGTATACTACTTGCTGATGATGTTAGCTGATGCAACTCTGTCCTTGCTGTAGACTGTGACTGAGCTTGGCCCTTTGGTCTGAATTTAGGAGTGCACAAGGAAGTACCTGGATTTTTAAGATGCCCCCAGATTTAATGTATTTCTATAGCAAAGGTTTTCCTGGAACACTGTCTCATCTGTCAAAATGTGTCTTGTTTTTCTTTCAGAATATACTTGCTGGATCTTTTACAACCCTCTTCTTCACTGTACTATAAAAGGAAAATATTCTTCCCTCATTCAAGAGCACTCCTCTGTTTAGTTTGTGGTTCTTGGCAATCTCTACTGTTATGTGTACAGAATGGTTGAGTTCTCATCTCTGTTAAAGCTCTAGTCATTACTAACTAGTTAAAGAATAGAGAAGAAAAATCTAAGAGTTTGTATTCCAGGCTGAGTAACTGTTAGAAACTCTTTCTCTTGTTATGAAGGACTTAAGTTCATTGCCACAATTCATCTCAGTGCCTAAGCACGGTTAGAGAAAGGCAGTTCTTCAGGTAGTAAGAATTCATAGCCTATTTTATAAATAATATTCTCCAGCTTTGAGTGTTCAAGAGAAAAAGGTGACTGTGTATGTATGTTGAATATTCAGAAGTATGAGATGCTTACAGAAAGCTGTTTTACGAACAGGCACATTTTTCTTTAATCATAAGCAGTTCCTGGTTTGCAAACTCTGTGTGCTCAATAACTATAAACATTTTCAAATTCAAAATCAGAATTGTATCCGGTGTTGGTTGGAAATAAAAGCCATATAGCATTTCTCTTCTCTACCTGCATGATCAACATTCTTAGGGTGAAATTTGGCTCAGTTAACATTAGGGATATAAAATGTAGATGTCTGCATCATCACTAATCATCATCAACTCTTTTTCTAGTCAGCACAGAAAAATATGAAGCTTCAGGGTGCAAGCTGTCTAATTAATTTTGGACACCTGCTTTGGGATAAGATGAATCACTTCTTTAAAGTAGTCTGTTCTTTCCACTGACTGTAAAGGAAGTTAAGACAATGAGATGATATATAAATACATGCCTTTATCACTCACCCTACGAGACAGTTTCTGAGAGAACACACTGCAAAAATGTCTTTTTTTTTTTTATTAAATTATTCGGTATTGTTCACAACAAATGCAGGAATTCTGCAGCGGTACCTACACGCATTTGCTAGGAACAAGCACGGGTTAATTGTTTGCAGTATTTCCTCACTTTGATTGTGACAGCTGTGGGCCTGTATCTGACATACGTCAGTGTTTACAGGTTGATCATCTGCTTGTTTTATGTGACTGAAAAATTGCGATGATTGTCACAATTTGTGTTATGAAGCCAAACCACATAACCAATCACTACAGGTGCTAATTGCTAAAGCTACATCAACTTCCAAGACCTCAAAGGGAGCTGCAGAAGCTGAGGTTCTTGTAGACAGTTATCATGTCACATATATCCTAAATTGTATCAGTCCACTTACATTCAAACTGTGATACTGTAGTTATTTTAAAATGTGAACTTTTATTCTCCATCTGTTTCCCTGTAATGGAGAGGCAAATATAATTTCATTACCATATATTGGTGAAGGACTACAGATGTAAAATCATTGTTGGTGTCAGGGATCACATCCCTATTAAAGCTACTGAACCAGAGGGGATTTGAACCTTTTTACTCAGTGCAAAAAAAATACGATTCACCCTACTTATATGTGTTCAGTTAGTGATAGGGAAGAAGTGTCATTTCTCCCTCTTACTTTCTGCCACTCCCTTATAAGATGGTAGCAATGGTATTTAAACACTCATCTTAATAAGAGTTTAACTGAGTTCAAAACAAGCAATTCATTTATACAAAGGGCAACAATCTGGTCATGGTTTGAGGGGTGGTGCCTTTGACTGGTGGTTTGGATTGATTTTTCTCTTTAGTTTTTGTTTTGCTTTTTAAATATGATCATTTTAGCTACAGACTATAAATATGAAATACAAGTTAGGAAACAACAACAACAACAGAATAATAGACAAATTGCTTATTTATTTTATTACTTTAAAATAATGCAATCAAAACAAACCTGACAAAATGCCTGTGCCACAACCCTTCGATTTTCCCTTCCTCTCTGCTATAGAAGCAAATTGACTTTTTTGAACAACAGAGCTGGGAATCAAGCATTTCCAAGTCTTAATCCAAATTTAAATCCTGGATCCTTGAGTGTCTTTGGCCAAATTACTTAGTCCTTCAGTGATTTGTCTCTTATCTCCAAACTGTGGTATTAGTTATATTTTCCTGCACTAGAAGAAGGCGTTGCAAGGACTTAGTGAATGTTTGTTCTGTCTTTTGATCATGAGGTGTGATCTATAAAGATAAGAGGTTGATAATTCTTCAGGACAGGGCCTAAAGCTAACATTTCAAAGCAGGAGAGGAGACCGATACATAAGTTCCCCATTAGGTTTTGAATAATCTGCACTACATGGAAAACTTCTGTCTGTGTCTTATTTATGTGGGAGGAAGCTAAAATGCTCTGTGGAGATGAATAAATGAGGAGAAAAAAAATCCCAAACAAACACATATTTGGGCTGCAAGCAGACTTTTTCTAAATGAGTGGTAAACCATTGGAAATAAGAGTTAAAAAGTCTCTTTACTAGTATTAAATGCAAGGTGATAGTCACAAGTATTACTCTTATTTTCCTTAGTAAAAACATCTTTACTTGCAATGAAATTAAACACCATTTTCTACTGACAAAATTGTCTCTCATTTTTGATTTTCATCACATTAAATAGAATCATATCATCATAGAATCATCCCGTTTGGAAGAGATCTTCAAGATCATCAAATCCAACCATTAGCTCAGCACTACCAGCTCACCAGTTTTTCCTAATATCCTATCTAAACTTCACCTGGCACAACTTAAGGCCATTTCCTCTTGTCTACATGAGAGAACAGACTGACCTCCACTGCAGTACAGCCTCTTTTCAGGTAGTTATAGAGAGCAATAAGGTCTCCCCTCAGCCTCCTTTTCTTCAGGGTAAACACCTGCAGTTCCCTCTGCTGCTTCTCATAAGACTTGTTCTCTAGGCCCATCACCACCTTCGCTGCCCTTCTTTGGACACTCTCCAGCACCGTATAGTCTTTCTTGGAGTGAGGGGCCCAAAACAGTACTCAAGGCGTGCCCTCACCAGTACCACGGACAGGGCGACAATCACTTCCCTAGTCCTGCTGGACAAACTATTTCTGATATAAACCAGGATGCCATTGGCCTTCTTGGCCACATGGACACAGTGCTGGTTCATGTTCAGCCAGCTGTCAGCCAACACCCCCTGGTCCTTTTCAGCTGGGCAACTTTCCAGCCACTCTTCCCCAAGCCTGTAGCAATGCCTGGGATTGTTCTGACCCATGTGCATGACACAGCACTTGGCCTTGTTGAAGCTCATACCATGGGCCTTGGCCTATAGAGCCAACCTGTTCAAATCCCTCTCTGGAGCTTATCCAGATCCCTCTATAGAGCCTCCCTATATTCAAGCAGATCAACATACCCACCTAATTTGATGCTGTCTGCAAGCTTGCTGAGAGTGCCCTCTATACCCTCATAATAAGAGGCATTCCATCATAGAAATCAAAATAATTTTGGTACAAGGTGCTGATTGACATTGTTTTTGTCTAATCCCTGTTGTTGTTGCCATAGCAAGACTGTAGTGGCTGCATGTCACGATTATTCCCTTTTTGCAGCACTTGCTGTCACATTTTGGTTAAACACTCAAGGGCAGCTTCGCTGTCCGTTCTTGCTCTTCCTCACTGCTGCCTTTTCCTAAAGTCTTTCACGTATTACTAAGAGCTGAATGACACTCATAGTGCTTGATCACTTCAAGGGAAAACAGCTTTGATCCCAGGAGATGAAAAACCAGTTTGATTCATAAATTCTGCACTTACTTAAAATGAAAAGGTGCATCAGTGGGTAGACTTTCTAGCTAATGTGTGACTTTCTCCTTCTGAATTTGTGTCCCATAGATAATTGCTCTATCAGATAAAACAGTATACTGTAGTAAAATTTTCAATCATAAGGAAGACACTTGGATTACCAGTTCATTACTTTACTCACTTTCATTTTAACATTTTCCAATGATTAAGCACCTGGAAAATTATAGGTACCTTATTGGAGAAAGACTCTCAACATTATATTACTGATGTGTATATTTCAGAATTTATATCTGTTTGGCTATGAAAACACCTTTCTAGAGAAAACAATATGACTTGTTTTTTCTTTCTTATTTCTCTCCCACAGATTGTGAGCGTGGGAAAGCATGTTAAAGGATATCATTATATTGTTGCCAACCTGGTAAGATACTTTTCTAGAATTATACCCTTGCTCGGTAAGTGAAACAGTTTTACTTTGAAGTTATAGCACTTCACACAACATTTGTCATTTGTCACTAGTATGTGATTGTGCATAATACATTCTTTATGGTGTGTAAAAGAACTTGGCTTTGTTGTTATAGCCATCTAGACAAGAAGGGCACAGTGTTACCCTCTTAAATTTTATCAAAATCAGTGTAGCATAAAGGACTGCTAAGTGCATCTTGTGGCTGAATTAGTATTTACAGAGCTACACTACGATTTTTGACTCATCTTTTTAATATCATTAAAAGAACAATTCTTGAGGTAACTTTTCTACATTTTCCAGGGATCATTCATTTTGCTGTAAGATCAGTTATTTCTAATCAAATTACCAGTTCAGTATTTTTACTCTAAGTCTAAACTGCACAATCACACAGATAATGTTCAGAAGAGGGCAAAGAAAGAAAACATACAATATTTTATTATTAAAATAACCCATTCTTTAAGCCAAAATACCTGCCTGGCCAAGCATAGCGAATGTAGGACAATATAATGTATACTTTAAATTGTTTTCTTTTTACTCTTCCTCAAGGAATTTTAGTTGACGTGAAATGTTTTATTGTGCTTTGCTGTACTTGTATCTTAACTTAAGATCACTTCAGATTATTTTTAAGGCCTCAGTCATTTTAAATGTCTATTCTCTTAGGTCTTACAAATCAGATTTTCAGCAGTACAAATTTATAGTTCCCCAAGTAACTTTTCCATTACAAAACAGTTGCTGTAAACAAGGAACTGGATATTTCAGTGAACTTGTAGTCAAATACACAGCGGAGACAGGCACATCTAGTCATCTGCTTCATCAGGGGCACACGTTGCTATCTACTGGCTACTCAATAATGTGGGTAATATGACTTCCTAAGAAGTCATCTTTTATATTTAATGTCAAGGCATGAATCAAAGCTCTATCCTTAACAGCTTTTTTTCCTTGGGATATTGGATCATTATCCCACAATTGTTTGGGGTGTTTTTTTTTTTTGTTGTTGTTTTTGGTTTTTTTTCTTGAATCTTTCTCTTTTAAGTTGTGTGATAATTACACTTCTGTTTCCAATGATAAATGCAAATCAGAGGAATCTAAGAAAATAAAACTGATACCTTTGAGCTAGCATTAAATGTAACAGCTAGGAAAGGAGCAGAATGATTTATGCTTTATTCTTACCTTGCTTTAGCAGTTTGCATTATGCATTTTCTTGAAGTTCAGTTATGTCTCTAAAGGCAAATTTTCCTAAAGAATTTATCTTTATACATGCTGAACAGATTAGCATGAGAAACCAGTAAGTCAGGAAGTACATATGCTGCAGTTTTTCTTTCAATGTTGGGGGTCACTTTAGGCTTTCAATATATAGCAGATCTGAGAGCTACCACCATCCTATTCCACAAAAGTGCATTTCTGATGTTATGTTATCCTTGCACCAACAGTGAGATTCTCATGCACTGTCTCTACCTTCTTATGTCTATTATATTTTCTCATTATCTCAGACACCTTCGGCCTAAACAGCGAATCCTGGAATAAATGTATTTTTAGGACAGTGTTGTTCATTTCGCAAATATGGAAAGAAACAAGGATATATTGGTTAAAGAACTAGTACAGAGCTCAAATCTGCCAGCTCTGATGGAAATTGTGTTAAGGCTTTAATATTCCACAGGCACTTTTCGGTTGATTCGCCAAAGGCATTTCTTCTGAAGCTGTCTGCCATTCCCAGCAATGTGTTGCTTAGCTGTCAAGACCACCCTAGCAATAATGTGGGAATTTTATTTATTGGTTTTGTTTCATTCCTTATTACACAAATGGAAATTACCAACAAAGGTTCGACGTTACCCTGGCTTCCAGTGGAAGCCTGCTGCTGTACATTTGTTGTGCTGCCTTGCTGATCTAGAACAGATTGTACCCACAGTGGTGTATGAGGACAAACAAAATCTTTAATCTGTTTTCTAGGGATTCAAAGATATTTCTCTGGAGAGATTTATGCATGGAGGAGCCAATGTGACTGGATTTCAGCTGGTAGATTTCAGTACCCCAATGGTAGCTAAGCTGATGCAGCGCTGGAAGAAGCTGGACCAGAGAGAATACCCAGGATCCGAGACCCCACCAAAGGTACTGGCTGATCTAAAGCACTAGAAAAGTTATCACACAAGTGTTCTAATTTCTGATTAACATTGTTGAATACATGAATGAAGACCTTAATATTTAGGCAGATGAGGAGGCAGTTATCTTACTATTACTGGCAACTAATTATGCCTATTCTTATGATTGTCCGATAGAAACACAAACTGCAACACATTTCACTGATGTACTTGAATGTCCTTTGTCACTTATTCTCCAGCTTTACCCCTTTACTGTCAGAAATTAAAGGTCAAATGCTTAACTGACAACTTCATTTCGACCAATTTTACATTAATTAGTCTGATTATCTAGATTCACTTAGAGTGCAGAGCTTTCCCAACAGCTGAATTCTGTATCTGAGATATCACAACTTGTTTATTACCCTTAAATTTTCATTTGAAGTTTCCTCTGAAAAAACCTGTTGTAGTAAGCACTTTCAGGCACAAATGTACAGAGAAATTACATCCCAGTATTCCTCTATTCTAATCTCTCACAGATGGATAATAAAAATATTTCTCTCACCTATAGTTTTCTTGGCAGGTAAACCACATCATAGCTATAAATGTAACTTCATGAAAATAGTTCTGTTATTATCTGTACTAATACATGTCAGACCTAGTTGAAACTGGGATCCTTTGTGGTGGGCTCTGTGCAAAGATAAGCAATCAGCCCTCCTTTGGCTGGGAGAATGGTAGGTCAGCAAAGTCTAGAGAAGGTATCAATGTGTATAATACAAAGCGTAGCTACACAATTCAGTGAATATTCAAGAAATTTATGTTCTGGATGAAAAAAAAAGATAACCAAGGATGCTGTGGGCTATGGAGTGCAGACATCCCCAAGAACTGGTGACAGGAACAAATTAGCCTATAGGGCTCCTGCCACATGAACAGGATTGTACTGCCTCCATATGAGAATTTAGCATGTTTAGTATTGATTGCACATAATTCACCTATCAGAAGTGAAAATTTGAGATTATATAGATAAATTGTGTCCCAAATTGCTTATAATATGAAAGACAAACGAAGGAAATCAGATTTGAGTAAGTGAATTTAAATTTTGGTAGTTACAGGGCATATCAAAGCAGCCCTAGTGTAGTGTGTTCATCAGAGGACCATACTGAGAACATGCCCTTTTTTGCTGTGGCTTCCAGCTAACATCTCTTGAAGGCTTGCTCTACACATTTCATTTCATTTGGCATGCTCTCAGCCTAAAGCAGTTAATGCAGTTAGTGGGGAAACACAGACTGTTCAGTGCCCTGTGTCATTCAGAGAGCCAACATAGGCTTTCCTAAAAGGAAGAACGTATCCTTGGTCATTCTTCACAATTCTGGTAGCCTGGGTGTCTGCTCAACAGGTGTGCATTTTTTCAGTTGTGTTTTCCCAGTGAGTTGCTGTTTCTTTCGGTTTTTTTGAGTAAGTTGAGTGGGTGGGGTTATTTCCTAATGTATAAGACAGCTGGAAAAAAAAAAAAAAAGACTTGAATATCTCCAGTTTCATTTGTTTCTTTTATTGATTCTTCAGAGGCAGATTTCTCTGTCCTTAAGAGATATAGTTGTAAAGCTGGAGCTACTGAAGTGTACTCATCTCAGTCCTGCAGTTCTTCCTTACACAAAACTGCTCTTTGTTTTTTATCTAAATGAAGGTTTAGAAACTGCTGCATAATTAATAATTAAACTCAAAATATCTGAGACAGCTGATTTTTGTTAAGACATGCCAACTCTAAAGTGGTGTGTTTGTCCATCTATTTAGTATACATCTGCATTAACATATGATGGAGTACTTGTGATGGCTGAAACTTTCCGTAATCTTAGAAGACAGAAAATCGATATTTCAAGGAGAGGAAATGCTGGTGATTGTCTTGCTAACCCTGCAGCCCCATGGGGTCAAGGAATTGATATGGAGAGGACATTAAAACAGGTAAGAGTAGGCTTTATTCCAGTCATCTTCATTAATATTAGATGCTAGTTGGTTTGGAACTATATAATTTGGAAGCTATTATATACAAGGGTAGTAATGTGAGAGAAATTTATTTTTCAGTTGCCATATGGAAACACTTGTGGCTGTTGTGGTTGTTTTGGTTCATAACTTGGAATGAAAGCAGAGGGGAACTGCTGCTATTTGAAAGTACTATTAGTTCTGTTAAGATAGTTGGGATTGCCTCCACTGAACTGTTGAGCTCATCTGTTACTTTTGCATATAATCAGGGTGTATAATTATTGTAAGGATATTGTAAGGTGTAGAGATGTTAAGGAAAAAGGTAAAGCTATATAATATAACCTTTAAAACATGTTTCTGTCATCTTGAATAAACGTAGCTTTTTCCGAGGGAAATCACATAGGTAGTATTTTTTTCTTTAAGAAGAAATAACCAAGAGCCATTGTTCTCTTATGTCAGCATTTTGAATTCCTGATGAATATAGATGCCTAGAAAGTTCCAGATCTCTGTCAAGATGATTTAGCCTTTCCTTTGAATGGGACAGTAGGAAAATAAAAATCCTGCAGTAGAATTTAAATCATTGCAAATGAGCAGGATCCACTCAGGAGAAGCTACTGAGGAGAAGTGACTGCTGACAGAGCTGGCAGCTCTGTGCCTGGAAGCCAAAGGTTTCAGTCCTGGAGAAAAATCAGCAGAGATAGAAATGGACAGAGGGAAGGAGTAAGTGGTTTAAATCCACATCCTGACGCTTAGGGTTAGAAATAAAGCATTTTGTATGCTTCACGTACTCCATCCAGAAGCACAGATCTGTAACAATCGTGAGAAGCGTGAAGTCAGGCTTCTGTGTTAGAGCAGACAGCATGAGCCTTCAAATCTGGCCAAGAGGTTTGCATGGCCAGATCCTGATACAGTGAAACCCAGCAGCAATATGCCATGGCTTCTTTGGGTTGAGGACCAGTCTGGGTATCCTTTGGAGAGGCAGTAAAGCACTGAAAGAGAAAAAAAAAAAGACTTCTAGTTTCAGCTAAGACAGAGGTGGTGAAAAACTTCCACAGCCAATCTTATGGCTTTACATCTGTCCTTCTCCACTCTTAGGCTTTGGAAACAACCCCTGTGCATGTCACCCATCTTCTGTGGCAGTAAATTGCTTTGCTGGGGCCAAGGTTGTTGTCAAGTTTACCTTGATGAGCAATATGTACTCAATTTATACATCTAATCCGCCAGAGTGTAAGCTAGAAAGATATATGAGTTCAGGCCAAACACCCTTTAGGTTTGTTTCAAGTGATCCAAAATACTCTGCAGGAGTGATGAGAATAGTAAAAATTGTACATCTCTTTAGGACCTGCAGCTGGAAAGTGTTGAGCTGCACAGCATGAAAAAAAAAGGAAGTCCATTGTGTGTCTTTGTTAGTGGCTATATACCGGCATATCTAAGCCTGTTTTGAGCATGGTTTGACAGGACAAAATAAAATAAAGGAAAAGTAGCCAACTTTTTTTGCTTTATAATGCCTACCTATTCTAGATTAGTGTTGTTACGGTAATCTGAGGACATAGCATGACTTTCACTTCTCTGTGACATTTGGAATAAATAATATAAGGCTGGACCTTCATGAAGTTTTTTCTTCCTTTAATTGTAGGTTCGGATACAAGGATTGACAGGAAATGTTCAGTTTGACCACTATGGTCGCAGAGTGAACTACACTATGGATGTCTTTGAGCTGAAGAACACAGGCCCTCGGAAGGTAGGTGCTGACTGTTTACTATCCTCATACCATATAAATGAGTTATGTATGATGAAATGATTATGCAAACATATTAAATTGGACTCCATGTGGTTTAAAAAAGATAACATACTGCATACATGGATAATGTTTCTGATGGCAGCAGATTTAAAGTGCATTTTCTTCTAGATACTATTAGGCATTGCAACAAATTGGGGCACACAAAAACAAGTGTGCATCTTGGAGAGGTGGGTTATCAGTCAGTCAAGCATACTAATGAAAACCAGCTGGATGGCATATTGCTAGGCTGCTGGGTGATGGAAAATGGTCAGAACTCTGAATAATAGATAATTCTTGTGTCTTGTTCAAAGATTTCTATCTTGTGAATTAGTGGCATTTTTGGATGGGGTCATTTTTACATTCTGGGTAAACATGAATCATAGGCTGTAACTAATACAGGGCTTTTAACAGGGCATGGAGAGGAGGAAGAGAGAATGCCCTGAATGCTTTTATTTTCTGAAATTAACTGCAGTATCTAACTCTGTGTGCCTGATTAGTTGCTTGTAAGCAACTTAGACAAATGCACATTAATATATGTCTAAGCAGATCCTCCACGTCTGAATGCATATAGCTTATCACTCAGCCTAATTACTTTGAAAAAATAATCCTCGGTACTTTGTTAACCCTTTCTCTTCTGTGCTGAAACTTGTCCATTTTTCATAGCATAAAACAAATAAAGGGCAGAAAATGAACTCAGGCTCAAGGATTTTATTTTCTTTGGAGGCACTGTGGCCTGATTTGTTTGCAAGGTCATGAGAACAAGAAAAAATGAGAAGCTGATGGTGAATAGAAGAATCATGGCCACTTGAGTAGGGCTAAGGCAATTGGGATTGAATTGAATAGTCAAGGAGGCAAAGTGTTAAACTACAGACTCAGAGCAGAATTACATGCTGTGATCAACAAATTGCCAGTATATCACAGTACAGAGCTGTAGAACAAAGCAAAGCTTGTGCCTGTTTGTGAGGCGTATTGGTGCAGTTGCCTTTTGAAGGTATGACAGATGGATGAAGAGTAAATTGGGAAAGGTAAGTCTGTCTTCCTTCTCTCTTGGGAAGACCAGTGTCTTCTGTCATGCAATGTGTCTGACCTTGCTGCCACTTCTGCTCCCTTCCTGGCTCCACGCTGCACGGTTGGCAGCCAGGAGGGTGTACGGGTGGATAGGATGCCTCAGAGACAAGTGGTGAAATACGACCTTTCTATCTCCAATTCCCAGTTGTACAGGAGGGAAGGCAGGGTGAAAAGATGTGGTTAATTAGGTCACAACTTCAGTAGCTCCTTAGAGAATTTGCTTGGCAGCAAACTGTTGAAAGTGGCCTGTTGTTCCAGTTTCAACATTTGTCACCTGTTTTGGAGAGGTATCTGGCTGGCACCACTGCAGGGATGCTCCCATCCACTATTCTTGCCAGCAATTTAAGGGGAGGGTGGCTGCAAATAGGGGATCTGTGTCTGGGCTTTGCTACAGACCCAGGCTGCTTTTCTTACCTTACCAGGCATGCCTCCCTGCTATTCTTAAGCCATTACCTGTCTTTGATATAACAAGCCATAACAGCTTTGACAGGTCTGGCTACTCATGAGAACTTATTTCTCATGTATTACATAGTATTTTATATGTGGTCATTGAACCAATTTTGTGCTCCAGCCTGACAAATCCTATATAATAAGTGAGAAATGGCTGTACTTAATTGAACTAAGAGGCCTTCATGTTTAATATCTTCTTCTCATGTCCTACATAACATGACTTATGAGTCACCCAGCAGTATCTTTTCAGGACTAGCCTTTCCAGTCAGTAATGCGTGCCTGTAATCTTTAGGAAAGTGATTTTTGTTGCCCACAGCTTGAAGGATGTGAACAGAGCATTAAAAAATGGCACAGCTATTCAGAGGCAGACTTCCATATAGTTTAGTAACATGGGAAACAATAGCAAATGCTTACATTAGTTTCATTTATGCATTGCTTCTTACTTTGTTCTTGTCTGCAAAACAATAACAAAACCTGTTGATGAGGGGAAAGGGTGTGAGAAGAATCACAGTCGGATGGGTCCTGTGACTGGAGTGTTGCAGTGGAGGCGTACAGGCTCTTTAGGAAGGACGGGCAGGGAAGATGAGAGGGGAAGCTACCCTTTATGTAAGAATGCAGCTGGAGTGCATGGAGCTGTGCCTGGGAATGGATGAGGAGGTAGCTGAGAGTTTATGGGTTAGGATTAAAGAGAGGACAGCTCAAGGTGACTTTATAGTAGGTGTCTGCTCTAGGCTATCTGACCAGGAAGAACAAGTGAATCAGGCCCTCTACAGACAGATAGGTGCAACATCATATTCACAGGCCCTTCTTGTCATGGAGGACTTCCACCACCCCGATACTTCCTGGTTGGGAAACACAGCAGGACATAAGCAAAACAGGATGTTCCTGGAGTCCATTGACAGCAACTTATTCTTCCAAGGGATAGAGGAGTCAGTGAGGAAAGGTGCTCTACCAGACCTCCTACTCACCAGCAAAGGGGAGGCTTGTTGGGGATGTGGAGGTCAAAGGCAGCCTTGGCTGCAGTAAGCCTGAGATAGTGGAGTTCAGGAGCATAAGAGCAGGGAGAAGGGTGAAAAGCAAGCTCACACTTGAGAACAGACTGGCGTCCTTAAAGATCTACTTGAAAGATAAGGAGTAAGGCCATGGAGGTAAAAGAGGCCTAAGAGAGCTGCATAATATTCAAGGATCACCTCCTCCAAGCTCCAGAGAGTTCCATCCCAATGAACAAAAAGTCAAGCAAACTCAAACTAAAAAAGAAAGCATACAGAGGGTGGAAGCAAGGATGGGTAAACTGGGAGGAATACAGAAACCCTGTCTGAGCATGTGGGGACAAAGTTAGGAAAGCTAAAGCCCAGACAGAATTGAATCTGACCAAAGACATCAAAGACAACAAGAATGGCTTCTGTATGTACACAGGTGACAGAAAGATGTCTAGGGAAAATGTGGGCCCTTTGCTCAAAGAGACAGGGGACCTGAGTACACAGAACATGGAAAAGGCTGAGGTACTTACTGAGTGCCACCTTTGCCTCAGTCTTTACTACAAAGATCAACCTTCAGGAATCCCAGGTCCTAGAGACAAGGGAGAAGGACTGGGGCGAGGAAGGTGCACCCTTGGTGGAAGACGATCTCGTCAGGGAATACTGAAGCAAACTGGGCCAGCGTAAGTCCATGGGCCCTTAAGGGATACATCCACAAGTGCTGAGGGAGCTGACAGATGTCATTTCAAGGACACTATCAATAATCTTTGGTTGAGCATAGCAAATAGGAGAAGTGTATGAAGATTGGAGGAAAGTAAATGTTCAAGGACAAGAAGTAGAACCCATGGAACTACTCTTCAGTCCCTGGCAAGGTGATGGAGCAGCTTGGAAACCATTTCCAGGCACGTTAAGGACAAGAAAATCATCATGAGTGGTCAGCATGTCTGATTTCACTGGGGGGAAGTCATGCCTGATCAACTTGATAAACTTCTAGAATGAAGAGATTTGCCTGGTAAAGGGGGAGACAGCAGTGGATATTGTCTACATGAACTTCACTAAGGCCTTGGATGCTGTGTCTAGTAAGATCCTCCTAGAGAAGCTATTGGTGTATGGACTGGATAAGCAGACAATAGGGTGGATTGAAATGTGGCTGAAGGGCCAGGCCCAGGAGGTAACGATCGGTGGTCTGAAGTGTATTTGGAGGCCAGTGACAGTGTACACCAGGGGCCAAAACAGGGTCCAGTCCCACTTAACATCTTCATTAACAATCTGTATCTGAGGCAGTGTGTGCCACCAAAAGTTTGCTGACACCAAACTGGGAGGAGCGACTGATATGCCAGGGGGTCATGATGCACCCAGAGGGACCTTGACAGACTGTAGAAATGGGCCAACAGGAATCTTGTGAAGTTCAAAGAAAAATACAAAGTCCTGCACCTGGGAAGGAACAGTCCCAGGAACCAATATATGCTCAGTGCCACCCAGCTGGAAAGCAGCTTGGCAGCAGAGGCACTGGGAGTCCTGGTAGACACCAAGAAGGACAAGAGCCAAGTGATGTGTTCTCACAACAAAGAAGGTTAATGGTATTCTGGGCTGCATTAGACAAAACATTGCCAGCAAGTCAAGTCAAAGGAGGTGATCCTTGCCCTCTACTCAGCCCTGCTGAGGCCACACCTGTGTCCAGTTCTGGGCTCCCCAGTACAAGAGAGATATGGACATACTGGAGAGAGTCTAGAAAATGGCCACAAATATGACTAAGGGACTGAAGACTGAGAGAGCTGGGACTGTTCATCCTAGAGAAGGCTCAAGAGGGATCTTATCGGTATGTGCAAATACCTGAAGGGGAGTTGCAAAGAAGATTGGGCCCAGCTCTTCTCAGTGGTGCCCAGGCACAGGACCAGAGGCAATGGACACAAACTGACACACAGGAGGTTCCCTCTGAACACTAGGAAACACTCTTTTACTGTCAAGGGTGAGCAAGCGCTGGCACAGATTAACTGAGAAGGTTGTGGAGTCTCTGTCCTTGCAGATATTTAGAAGCTATCTGGACACAGTCCTGGGCAACTGGCTCTAGGCTGAAGAGAGAAGGTTGATCAAATGACCCCTGGAGGTCCATTCCTACCTCAGTCATTCTGTGATTCTCTCGTTCACCATTCATCATGTCACTAAGATTAAAACAAAATATAACAAAAATAGAAAAAATTAAAAAGGAAGAAGAAAAGTAAACAAAGCATATACATATACCTTTACATGCACAAAACCATCTTGAGCAACTAATATAAAAGGGGCTTATCAAAAATTTTGAGTATTCTGTTGCTTTTAGTGACTTGAGGGCTTGAGCAGGAGCACTTGAGTGGTTGCTACAAGGTGCACAGGCCTGCAGAAATGACACTATTCATTCAAATACTTTAGCACAGGTTTGAAATGCACACATGCAAGCTCACACCAACGCACACAAACTAAAATTCCTTTTAAAAATGCCTACTATTCCTCAGAAAAAAAAAAAAAAAACACCTTTATCTCTTTCTGTGTTTTCATATAGTACTCACTTCTATAATACTACATTATTCATTTCCTGCTTTCCTTCTGAATTTTCCAGCAGTGAGAAGTTGCACAATGAAAAACAATCATTCACTTTTACAATGAGCTTCCCAAATTGCCAGATTTTGGTGTACCTATTCTGCCTTTAGCTGGTTGCAGTTTTTGACAGGAATTTGACATTTTTTAGTTACCAGTTGTATCTGTGACTATGTTTGTCTGGATGAGAAAGAGTATTTGTTAGCAGTGAATCCTAGTATGAGGAAAACCTCTCTCTCCACTATATCAGTAATGCTGAAGCTTCCTGTTAGCTGCAGACACCTAAATCAAGTCTCCTGTGCTGTAACAGCAATTGCAAAGAGAAAAGGAACATTTCAACTAAAAATACCAGAGGCTGTGCATGGGAAGAGTTTGTTTGCTTGTTTGCTTCACTGATAGAAAAAAAAAAATCATATTCAATTGTACTTACTCAAATTACTTCATGTGTTTCTAATTCTCTGTGGTGTGTCTACACACTGCTCCTAGGGACTGCTAAAATTACTAGCCTTCCATATTTATTTTTTTTTAAAAAAGGAAAGTAATGATGAAGTAAATGTAAAAATCAAGAGTAAGGTTGTTTAAAAAATACAGTGTTCTTTAATACATATGAGACTAGGAACCAAAACCACTTCCTGGCACTTCTAGAATTCCGTGCAACATCACTGCGTTGATCTGAACATGATCTTTCTCTGTGTCATGGAAACAGAACCCTATGTGATGGTGAATTGTAGTCTGGGTTCTACAATAATGTTAGAAATAATATTTGCTGTATAATTGATCTGATCATTTAGCCAGTTTCCAATGTACTGAAGTCTTTTCATCTGAGGCACAGACTGTCCTTTGGCACTGACAGTTACACTGGAGCTCTGTCTGGAGCCCACTTTCTGTTAAATTCCTTTTCCTCCTCTGGTAAGAAGGACAAGGTGTTCATCTCTCCCAGCTCTTGGTCTCATGAACTGCTAATTAATCAGTGAAGGATGGAAGGGGGAGTTGCTACTGACTGGTCTCGAGGTGCTTCTGAAAAATGAGCTGTGCCAGCCTGCATTGCATTTATTTGGTAGGAACCACATAGGTGCCATGGTCTGCCCCTTTCCTGGGAAAAGAAGATCAGTCTCCTAGCTCGTTAGATTTTTGGCAACCTGGAGAGCCCCTTTGGTTGGGATTAGTACACTGTTCTACTGAGATGTTTGCATTCATGTTGTCTCTTTGACATGGAGCCCAGTGCTGTCAGCACTGGGTCAGAGGAACAGGCACTGAGCCATTCCCAGCAACTGTGTGAGAGGGTCCACAGACAACGGTGATGTAGTCACAGAAAAGAGAACGGCATGAAAGGGAAAAGGGAGGGTGTTTGCTAGTGAGCCACAGGTTAGATGTGAGAGAGCAGCTTCAGTTAAGGGACCTGTGTCTGCTATACTGAATGGATTGGTGGGAAGGTGGGATTAGACACCTCCAGTTGTCATTTTATAGACATCCACCTTATACTGAGAACAGCATTCCCAGGAAGACCTTTCCTACCTAACATCACCCAAGGCAACATTAAATAAGTGGGGTGAACTCTAAATCCAGAAATACCACTTGCTGATACAGTTAATAAAAATAGTGTCACCACCTGGAGTGAGAAGATGAGTGTGCTGTAAGATTCTGACTGGCCAGGATTTACAACAACAGTGAAGTGTTTTAGGTCTTGTATCTTCTTTTGGACATCCAAAGATATAGTACATAAGCTGTGGGGACTTTATGGGGGGTATGTGGGGAGTTTTAAGTGTTCCTTGAGCAGTGCCCAAAAGCATCAATAAAATTTTGAAGCAGCACCGTTGCCAATGCACAGGGCACACCTGCAGGCTGTACTGAATACCAGAGGTGTGCACTGCAAAGAACGGTGTCTGTATGTAAGGGAAGGCTTCTCAATGCAGGCAAGCCACTTGTGGTTTTTTTTTTGTTTTTTTTTTTTTTCTCGATGGATATACAAGAATGAGTGATTCAAGTCTGGCTTTACAGTAGTTCACCAACAGTAATGAAAAAAGGCAGCTGTTTCACCATAAGGCCACCCCGGGAAAGGGTGAGGCAGGCTACATGCAGGCAGGTAGAGGAAAACCTTATTTGTTCCACCTCCCTATAGGCACTTACCAGAGAAACTTTTAGAGTGATGTCACTCTCACCATGCTTTGGGGTCAGTGGGAAAAGCAAGCACTTTCCTAGGAGGGATGCTTAATCCTGCATGAGCTGAGTCACTGTCTGGTAGTGCCTCTCTGTCCAGTGAGTGTAAACAAAGCTTTAGTAACAGGGTTTTTAATGTAGGTACTAAAAGGTCAGTGCCAGCAGTTAAGTGAGACAAGCCTGGTTTAAGTCCCTGGGTTGGGGTCTCCTGAGAGGCCCATGATGGAGCAGAGAATTGAGATCAGCCATTGAATTGCAAAGCTGTCATTCAGATGTCTCTCAATCCTCCAGCTAAGATCAGAAGATCTGGAGGATTAGTGAATGAAAATTTTCTTATTGAGAGACAAAAGTTGTACATCTCACGTATGCCCCAGGAAGTCTTCAAACTATTGAAGATGGGATTTAATTTGTACTTCGGGTCAAAGTAAGCAGCTCTGATCATTCAGGAGCAGCTGAGTGGCAGCAATACTGAGTCCGAATCTGTGCAGCAATGCAAGATGCTATAGTCAAAATGTTTGATACATACCACCATGCACCAGTCTAGGAGGATGGCAGTACTTCCTTTGGTACTAAATTAGCATCAGATCACTCTTGTTCTTATAATCATTTATATTTGTAATTATACAGAATATAAACTGTTCTACTGTAAATTATATAAATTTTGTTTTGCAGGTTGGTTACTGGAATGACATGGATAAATTGGTTTTGATTCAGCATGAACCTACACTTGGAAATGACACTTCAGCCATGGAGAACAGGACAGTAGTAGTCACTACAATTTTGGTAAGGTGTTTCTTTTTTTAATGCTTTCACTGGTGTGTGATACAATCTCATTTCTAGTTATGGTCTAATTTAGTATGCCAGTTCTTAGGTTAGTGGGAGGGTGTGAGCCATATATCTTAGTTATCTTGACTGTCATATCTGGTTTTTGGTATGCATTTAATGTAATGATTAACTTGAAATCAGGTTTTTAAAATTGTGTTGCAGTACTTTTTTTCCTTTATTCAGTCTTTTCTATTTTTTACTAAAGTAAGTCTCATAAATGTAAGTGAATTCTTCAGCCTCTAATTGATAAAACTTGACTCACAAGAAACTGGAAGAAGAGAAAAACTCAAAACCTCTAAATGACAGAATTGAACAGAGGGTATAAAATGAGATATCTGTCATGCCAGTGTCCCTTTTTGTTGATACATTGTGAATTCAAAACTGACATTAGCAAGAGCTAAAATTCAAGTAGTATAGTTCTGTCAGCCAGTCAGAACTGGATTATCTACTTTTAATTGTGAATGAAAACATGAATTTGGTAGATGCATTTGAACATATTTCTTAATATGTTTATTCAGCATTTCAGTATAATTTCCATTCTAATAAAATCTGAATAGATTTGGGGGTTTATTTTCCAGTGTTATTGATGTTTTTAAAGAGTGGTTGCAACGAAGAATGCAGTTGCTTCATTCATTTACATTTTTAGTAAATAGTTTTTCAAAATGGTTGTTTCTTACAAATCTATATTTTAAACCAAATATTTAACAATTTTCCCTCTTAAGTCAGATGTGCCCTTTTAAGCTGATGTTTGTCAAAGCCAACTGGCAAAGGCTGACCTTTACCTGACCGCTTTTAAGATTTTGCATCTCAGTTCACTGCCCTTTTCACGTGCTTCATTTAGACAAGACATTTTAACCCTTTAGAATAAGCTGTGTCTCCAGTGGGAAGGAATATTCTGTATGTGTTGTTAAGCAATACTTTTTCTAATTTAATACAGAGTTGAAAATAATTCAAAGGAAAGTGTCAAGACATTTTCTTACTCGAAAATGCAGTTAGTATACCAGATTTCCGACAGTGTGTATCAGCATTTATGTTTTAAGTATTTCTTAGCAAATCTCCTGTTGAAGAATATCATTCCAGGATACAAACCAACAAAACTACTATACAGGAATTCAGAATGTAACTACTAACCAAACAGTGTAATTTTTTGTTTTATTATTATTATTTTTTGCATGGGACATTTAAAATATATGTATCATTTTCCTAAAAAAAAAAAAAAAAAAAGGCTTGGTGATGGAAAAAAAATATACTTCAGTACAGTCCTCCTCTTTTCAGCCTCTGATGAAGAATCCTATTTTAAGAAATTGATCAAGGAAGAAAAGAGTCCCAAGATGCTGCGAACATTCCTAACTAAGGCTCAAGTATTAACCACCAGTCTAGTAGCATTGAGCTAATTTTTCCATATGGATTACTGTTCCTCTGACTGGATGACCAGGCACTGAACCACCAAGAAAAGTTCTGTGACTAATCTGAAATGTCTAGAACAGATGACGTTAACCTTCAACTTTGCCAAGCTGAGAAGAGAACGATGTGAATAACAAGCTTTCAGTCGAAATTTTCCTCTCATACCAATCCTGATATCTTTGACTGAAGCTGCCATACATGAATACTGTAATTTCCATAAATAGCTCTAAGCTTAGGAGAAGAAAGTAAAATATATTAATGAAAAGTAATATAACAGGTTCCTGTTTGACAGAAAGAAAAAAAAAAAAAAGGAGAACAAGAAAGCTTTTAAAACGTGTTATCTTGCCTGTCCTGTTTGCATTGAAGCATTTTGATGTGCATAATAAATGTTATCTTCGAAAGAGCTTTTCCAGTCCCAGTATTGAAAGGACTGGTGGGATCAGCTTCAAAACCAAAAAGCTGAATTAATATTCCAAAGCATGCCCTATGTTGTGTCATTTTGGGGTGAATGCAGTTATTTGAAAACAGCACTGCTTCTTGACCAGAAGCCTCCCCTTTCAATGTTTGAAAATCACAGTGCAAGAGAAATATATCAGAATTTGGTTTGAATAAGAATATATGGTGCTTTCAGCTTTCTCATGCCGATCTCCCATTGACTCTGCTGGGAGCAGCACGCGTGATGCTGAAGGCAGATTAGAACCATGATTCTTAACATTGGCCTGGCAGGGCAAGGTATTTAGCATGCACTGGCATATGATCACATACACAAAGAAAAGGTCTCTTGAGCTAGAAACAACTTTCAGAATCCTGTTATTTTGCTCTTCTCTGTATTATAGTCATGTTGCAAATGCCAGACAGAGACTTTTTCACCTCTTCATTGCCCTCTTCACATTGAAGGGAAGTTGAACCATTGTAGATGACAGAAAGTTTTGGTTGCATGCATATTTTCCAACGCTAAACTGAAAAGCTTCTGCAACCAGTGCTGTCAGGCTTTTCAGTCTTCAAAGGCAGGTATTGTGGCAGCGTAAGAAAAATTTACAAGTTTTCAGCATGGCTTGCTTTAATTTTTGCCTGAAGCCAAGTAGCACAAGTTGATTTGCCCACTGTTCCTTCAGTTTGTATGTGTCTATGCTTACTTTGCTGTAATGTGGCTGTATGGCTATTGCATAGAACATGCATTATAACAAATTAGCTCTGCACTCAAAAGATTTAGTACAGTGTTTTCTACTTGGCAAAATGTTATGTTTGTTTGTAACGTAGTTAGAGCACGCAGAATTTATTATACAGTTTTGGTTTAGTGCACAGGCACTCGACCTATCTCAAATCAGTCATGTGGTGAAGGAGAAGCCCAGAAAGAGGTGGCAGCAGGGGCAGCTGATGGATGCACTTTACCAACCGCTGTGCAGCCCTGTTTTTTATAGTTCCTGGAGGAGACCTCTGCCCTGGACCTCATGTGATGCACAGCCTCCTGCACAGCTGACCCTCTGGAAATAATAGTTTTTCTACCTGTTATCAGAAGCATTCCCTCCAAGAGGGGCTTGGGAACCATCAGTGCGTGGTAGGCTCATTGTATCACTGGAGAAGGGGCACCATGCAGCCCTCCTCTAACACTGAGGTAAAGCGAGTAACTTACCCAGCTAGGAAGAACAACCGTCTCTAATTTAGTAAGTTGAGAAATGCAGTGGCACCTTGTTGAGGTAGAATACAAGGGAGTAGGCTGGGAAGACTACTCCAAACTCTCTAATCCATTTAATGATATGGATAACGTTGTACCTACTCTGAGACTGCAAAACTTAAAAACCACAGAAGTCCTTTAGAACCAAAGCTTGATGTACAGGAGCTTCATCTGCACCCTGGCTTCTAGCTCAGTATTTTAGCGAGCTAGTCAGTGTTGGTAGATTAAGCTTCAAGGGCAGGGTCCAGTTCACAACTGAGTCATCTAAATGTAGATGATTTTACAAAGGGTATTGATGCAGTTGCCCACTTAAAAGCATCTAGTGACATTTAAGATGCTCTAGGATGTACTGCCTACCCTCCATTTCTTACACTGGCAAGATGACACTTGCGTGTCTCATGCCATATATGACCACTCCATCTGGGTGTCTCAGCTATTGTATGTTGTTTCAGGCACACAGGATAAGTTGCACTCCAAGTATGTACATTGTCCTCAAAGTCCACAAAGATACAAAAATTGATTCGATGGCTCATAGGTGAATACCTAACACTGAGGATATCAGACGTATCCATAAAGGGGTGACACAAAGGACCTGCAGAATGGCACTTTGGAGGTCAACAGGTTACTATAGAGCATCTCAGATGACAGATAACCTTCATTAGGTGACTGAGAACCACCCTCATTGTTTTGACCGATACTTGGTGGAATCTTACCTCAAAAAATCTAAATATAACCTTCTTTCTCATAATAGAAAAATATTTTTTCATTATAAAATTTATTAATTAAATTCTTTGAAGGACTGAAAAATATTGAAGTTTGTTGCATAACAATAACAAAGACTTCAAACCGAATCCTGGACACTTTATTCAGAAAAAAAACCCAAACCCCCAAAACCAAAAAACTTGATATCTGCAGAAGTTTCTTTCAGAATAAAGTGTGATAATGTGTGTCACTCCTGTTCTAAAAATGAAACATTTCCTTGCACAAATATTTTCCACTTTTACAAATTATTTTTACAATGTTTAAAGATTTTGAAATGAACTTTAGACTAGGAAAGCAAAACATAGATCTGTTTGGTATTTCACTTAGTTACTTACTCCAGCATCCATTATAGTATGAATCATCAGTTGTGAGCATTTTACTGTACACATGAATTTGTGGCAATGTGTTGGAATGATTTGTTTATAGCAGTAATTGTTGCAGACATCCACTTGTATTTACAAATGTTAAGTATTGTTATAAAATTGTGAATTATATAAGTAAAGCTTGCACCATTTCAAATATCTGTTCCGTGCTAGTCATTGATCATTTCGATGTGGACCTTTCCTTGATTCACTACCCCATAGAATACTATTAAGCAGCTGAAATCTTGCCAATATTTCAGTGTTAAACCTGTGTTTTACATCACTAGCTTAAGAGTTTGTGGTTCAAAAATGTAGTAAATACAAAGATGATAGGGAAAAGTAATACTTTTATTAGACAAGGTGCTATAACTGGAAATGGTGAAAAAGTACGCCAGCTGTTTTCAGCTATTTCAGCTGGTCTAGTAGAAGATACTCCCTGTCCATAGATGTCTTGCATCTCTTTAGACTAGCATGGTTACACTAATCTTACTGCTAATTTAGAAAATGCTATTGTAATAGTTTATACAGAAAAAAAAAAAAAAATCATCCTTTTCAATACCACAGATAGAAAAGAGCATCAGGATATGGCTAAGTACACGCTATTGATCAATTCAGATATCTCATGACTTTCCAGTGTGACCTTGCAAGTTCATCTGTGTAAGCTGCTTGTTAGCAAAGCAGTAAAGCTTAACTTTCAGTGCCCCGATGTTATTATAATAACGCCTGCACACCTCATCAGTTTGAAACACCCCCGAAGTCTGTAATGGACAGAATTTAAAGCTAGTGCTACTATGTGATTTTTTTTTTTTTTTTTTCTCAAACAGACCATCAGAAAGCCACATTCAGTCCCATCCACATCCCCCCATTAAATTCTACCTTGAAAATACATCTCTCATTATTTGGCAGGTAATGTAGGCACAACAAGTAAAGAAAATGGTAATTATTCTGTGTAAAAGAGGTAGGAGGGAAAGAACAACATACTAAGCAACAGGTACTAGGTGTTCCCATTATTTTTAATTGTATTGTTTCACACGGGCAGATCTCACTCAGTTGCTACTTCTTTTAAAGCAGTCACAGTAAGAGGCACTACCTGCTGTATAAAAAGAATGGTATTATAAGAGATGCTCCTTTATGTACTTTTGCTCTATATCAGCAAGATCAGAGTGTGTAGAAAGAGACGTGGATGGGAAGAGAACCAGCGGAGTTCCTCTAAGTAACCCAGCAGATCCCAACCAGAAATTAGATCTTCTGAGTCCTCACTTGTTGGTCCCTCCACTAGGTTGCTGCTGCTTGCACCTGTCAAGGACGATACTGGACCCCACTGCTTCCCTTCTCAGTGTTCCCTCACAGAACTCAGGGGGAAGAGGGTTGACATTTATTTAGCCTTTAAGAGGAAAACTAAGGCATAAGTCACTTTGCTTTGTTGTGCAGAGACAGCTGAAATGCTTTTTTTGTAACAGTCCTTTCAGTGATGAGATACAGGCAGAAGCAGTGTCTGGGTTATGGGAAAAGCAGGACCTGGCCTCCTCTGTGCCTGTCTGCTTTGTGCTCCTTTCCAGAATTACTGTTTCCTGATGTTACATTAATTGCATGCCTCTGTCTTGGGATTTATAAAACACACAGAATCATAAAAGCCAGCAGTAACTAACTCTGGTCTTTGAAGAACAAAATTGCTTTTCAGGTGCAACAAGAAAGTGTAACTGAAGCTTGTAAGGAGAGCCCACAAATGCGGGATACTGGACAAAGCTTGGCTGTATTTTTAGGTAGCATCTGGCTAAATCATAGTCAAGAAACAATATTTTTCCCGTCTGCCTGTTTTTAACCATTTTTGTGTAATAGCACAGAAAGACACAGAGTTTGGCTTTTCTTCTCACAGGAACAAAAAACCTACATGAGGGAAGAACATTTGATTTACATGCCCAAAATACTTCCCCAAATGAAGATCTACTGCAAAGAGGGCAGGACCCCTTCTCCCTGCTCTTCTCCCTCCCTCCCTCTGGAAGACAGGTGGTTGAGATTAAGCTGATATAACTGGAGATAGGAGCGCAAATGGTGCAGGCTGCTGGTAATAGCAGTTTTGCTTTGAAGATACAAACTCTGTAGGAGTAAAAGGCATTGCACTGCATCACCGCAGTGATTACAAGTGCATAGTTAGTGCTGTAGCTCAGTGGTCTTCTCAGTATCCAGGCCATGCACATCAGGATGATAGCAGCTTGTTTTGTGATTGCCCCAGTTCTAAAAGTCCTTGGTGATCCCTAGCTGTGCAGTGGTCATAACTGTGTGCTCAAGAAATGTAGCAATATCTGCTGCTGTCACCCTCTAATTTCTCTGGCCATTTATAGTTACATATAGGTCAGGTAGTCAGAGAGATTTTGACTTTGGAAGTGATCATTGTGGACATTTTTCTATGCTTTGTGATTCCTTGGTTGAAGTAATGGCCGTAATGCATCAATGGCCTCCAACACTGATTTGGTGCTAAGGGATTGTGTCCCAAAGAGGCATGTCCGTAGCAGAGAATGACATAAGAAGATGATGGGAGGAGAGATATTCCGGGAATACACCTGAGAGTGAAACATTCCTACAATACATAGGAACCTGACACTGTCTTTAAGGAAACACTAGCACTTCCCCATTCTCAAACTGTTGAGCTTAATCTAGGATCATTCTGTCACACCAGAGTAAATGAGCTACACAACTTTCTTCATCCACATTACACAAAGCTCTGTTCTGCCATTCTTAAGTGGAGGTGGGTCCTGGGGAGAGTTGCCACTGGGAGTAAACTTACATAAGTAAAGGGAATAGTGCCTTCCACATATAATCTCTTTTCTATTTGCGTTTTCACCTTATAAGAGTAAATTAAAGATACCATTCTGGCTTGCCTATCAAGTTCTTCTCTTAGGTGCGACCTGCTAATAGGAGTTATATATTGTTACCAAAACCAAAAAACTTACCTGACACACTGAAAAATTTTGGAATTGCTTCGTTCAGTCCCCCTGTTGCTAATATAATGCCATGTATCCTCCATTGTTAAACACCTAATAAAGGTCACAGAATTGCTGTAGCTGTTGCTAAAGCTAATGTTGGTGTAGTTCCAGTGAAGCAGACATTCTCAAACTACACATTTACCTTGATTTTTATTTTTGTACTAATTATATACATAGGAAAGTTGTGAATAGGGCAAAGTACTACCAAGGTTACAGTCAAAAAAATAACATTCACCAGAGAAATCTTGCCAGTATTTTGTGATGTAAATTCAAACAAAGGGTGATGTTAGTGACAAGTATTTTATCTGGCTATGAATATGAATTATGTGAAGTTAAATTAATTACCAGAAAAAATGTGACCTTGTTTTCCCAGTGTGACCTTGATTTGCCAGTAGCATAATATATAGTATTGTGGTAGTATGGTTTACACAAGGAATGTAAAAACCACTTCTTGAGACAGATTTTACTTGTTTTCAATGGCAATTCACCATCCAAAAATATTTTGGTACTTCTTTTTCATGCAGCATGTAAGGTCAGTGACAGCTTAATACCATTCTTGTCCATGTGTATTGCTTAGATTCATCCTAAAAGTCCTTACAGAATCTACACTGTTTATTTGAAGGGGAAGATACATGTTTCCTTGGGAATATATATTTGTGTTCTCACTAAAATGTATGTAGCCTCTTAGTAACTACGTATTCTAAACCCCAAGAAAGCAAACCATTCAGTCTATGCATCTGAAATTACATAGAGAGTAACTACACCATGTTCAAAGATATGCTTACTTATTGAAGTCAAAAATGTAAATTATACCTTGCATTATCCCATACTCATTTGCACTGTATAGGTTCAATTTCTGTTCATGCTTTAAATTTAGCATATGCTGCATTAAGGTTTTTCATTTAAAACAAAGTAAAATTTATATATATTCTTGGATAGTTTTTATGTTCATAATTTGTACAGTTGATAAATCTTGTGAAATGTATAAGCCAAATTACACTGTAAATAGTATACCTTTCCTGAAGGATTTCTGTTCATACATTTTAATTTGTATGTGCTGATAAATATCCATGAACTTTTGATAAAATATGTGTTGTTCAGTCAGTTGATGACATTACTTTTCAGAGCATATTTGGTATACTTCTCCTTTACAGTTTTACTTCTTTCATTATAGGAAGCCCCATATGTTATGTTCAAGAAAAACCATGATACGTTTGAAGGGAATGACAAGTTTGAAGGATACTGTGTAGATCTGGCGTCAGAAATTGCAAAACATATTGGTATCAAGTACAAAATTGCCATTGTTCCTGATGGAAAATATGGAGCAAGGGATCCAGAGACAAAAATCTGGAATGGGATGGTGGGAGAACTTGTTTATGGGGTAAGCATACCAATTTTTAAAGCAGGATTTAATTTTTCATAGTATTAGTCATTAAATAGGAAGTATCTGTGCATTTTATTTAACATTGAGGTCACAGAAAAACAGAATTCTGTTTCAGATCTCTTTGCTTTCATTTATTTTCAAGAGAAATCAAATAGGTTCATGCAAATTCTATTTATTCTGCTAGTACCTTGCAATATTAGAACATCCATAGTTCACACATGAAATTCATTAATGTTAGAACTATTGTTAGAGTCGACATACTCCTGATACACTGCAAAATTTACCTTGAAAGAATATAATTCATTTATTCATTTTCATGGAATGATGGACAGATCTTTTAAAAAAGATAGGACTCTTGCCTAGTTTGAGAAATGGAGAGTCCACCATCATATATTAAACATATATAACAAACCACTACAGACATATACACAATTAGGCAATTCAAAATTAATACAGACTTGTAAAATGAACATCAATGGCAAAATTTGAGAGCAAACCTGGCAAGTTCAGCAACTGAGAGCATTATGTTATACAATGACCTGGAGAATGATTCTTCAGTATAGTGTTAACAGCTAAGAATCCTGTTGACATACAAGGTTGTAATACTCAACAAAAATAGTTCCAACAAACCCTTAGAAATATTTGCAGTATCTGGTGTTACCAAAAGTAGCAAAACTCAAAGCTGTGCTTGCTGATGACTGCAGTAGCTAATATCTGCCCTGAAAAGAGATCAGAATTCTTAAAGAAATTTTTTGTTTCAGTGATGGAGTGTAAAAAAAAAGTCCTGAAACTATTCATGTGAGAACATTTCTACCAATGAACATGTTAACATGCATCAACCTCCCTATAAAAACCTACTGCATACCAGCTGGTCCTTCTACAGTTGCAGTTTTCATAATTCTAGTAACGATTATGGCCATGTGTGGCAAAAGCCTAGTGGCTTTTCTAGCAACTACATTTTCATTCCCTTCTCTCTGCTAAGTCTAGCTGATAAATTTTGTCAAAGTCTTCTGCACCAGCATCAGTTCATGGAACTCCTACAGACTGTGTTCTGTAGGAGTGTGGGAAGTGGTACCCCAGAGTTTGGTTCATTTCCTCTCCACATAGGAGTGGGAAGGTTATAGCAGCCTCACAAAACTCTCTATGTTCTTGGAGGTTCTTGAAGGAACCAACTTCACTTGTGCCTTTAAAGAGTAGAAAAGCTGAATGTATATCCAAAAAATATATCCACTTTAGTGGCTTGGAAGGAGCTCAAGTCTTAGGATATTGAAAGTGAAGCCTCTTTCAGACTTATCAAAATGGAAGCGACTCCTTGTCTGGCATTTAATTGTAATTGCAAAGACATGGATGTCAATGCTTGTGCACTGTTTTACACCGGCAGGTTTTTTAAGTCATGCGAGACATTTCGCAAATTGTGAGAAAATTCCCTTGCCCAGATGCATAATTTCAGTGGCCTATCATCTAGTTGAAAGTTATAGAGGAAATTTGAATGTACACTTTAGTTTTCTGGGTTTTGTTTGGGGTTTTTTATGCCTTTTATCTTGAAAAAAAAATAACCTCATCAAACCCAAACTGCCCCAGTACTAGACTGAATTACAAAGTGCTGTTAGGAAGCTCATACAAAGGTTCATGCCAGTACTAGAATGTGACCTTTGTCTGTTAACATAGCTGAAAGCAACAAAACTCACAGGCATAGGGCACCTGTTGCAAATCATGTACATGAAGAAGACACACAAGAATAAGTGATCAACACTTCATTCTTTGTAATGAATAAGGTGAAGGCTCTTTAAAGTTTTGATGGCCAAGTTTAAAATCTCCTGTACAACTGTCTGTTTAGGAGGGCTGCACTCGGGTTGAGATTCTGGGAATCAGCCCCAGCAAAGCTCTTGGAGCTGCTCCTTTATTGAAAGAACTAATGGAAGTCCACTGTTGCCCTATTTGCTCTACTATGCAAAGGCTCCTTGAGTCTGTATCATTCCCAGGATATCAATGGCTCCAAGGAATGTCCCTGGGCACTGGAACGTGCCTGGCTAATCTGCTAAATTGCAAAAATGATCCCTGATATATTTTTGTCACATTACTGTCCAAAACCACTTCTGAGCCCAGCTGGACACTAGGATGGGGACAGACCGTTTCTTATAACCAGCTTGAATGCAGCCATGCTGTTTTAGAGGTTAAATGACTTTCATGATAGCATCACATACTGTCCTGTGCCAGCTGGCCCTAAGACCAAGAGCTATGCCAAGCATGTTTAATGGACTTTTGCAGATGCTGCTTTAAAGGAAATTGTCCTTTCTGTTAACTTATAGGAGTTTGCTGCTCAAGATTTCCATAGGGAATCTGTGAAGAGTATCCTCCTTGCAACTTCCTTGAGTCCTTGCCAGACGATTTACAGAGCATCAGGTTCCCCAGCTTATTCCACATATAGAAAGTAGAAAAATCAGTCAGCCAGAGAGATTCCTGCAAAGCTCTACCATAAGAGGATGTTCATCTTTGATAGATTCCCAGATCATAAACACAAGTACCCTGAGTAGCTGGCTATGCTTCAAGCAAAACTTTCTATATGCAGCCAGAATTTGGATAGAATTTGCAACTGAATTGGCAGATGAACAAGGTGATCTGTTTGGGAAACATTTTACAGCTTCTGATTCCTGACCACGTTAAAGGATCAACAGACAGTTTTGTGCTGGCCAGGAAGGTTAGACCTTTTCTGTGCCACACAAAAGGCTAGAGCTTCTTCTGCTCTTTATACTGTACCCAAATGCCTCAATGCCACCAATGCCACTTAGCATTATCCATGTTACTCAGAGAGGACACGTATGGCAATTTTATCTTACATCCCCTTGTTCTGATACCTGGACACTTCAGATACTGCACAGTACAGCTTGTTTTTTACCAAAATTCTGTAGCTGATTTTTCCATCACATCCCAGAGGAAGCAGTGCATAAAGTGCTGTGAGTTACAGTTCTTCTATGACTGTACAGAAGGTTGTGGTGGGGGGTTGTTTATTTTCCTGATTTGTTTTTAGCACTCTATTAAAAACTAGCAGGAAATCTTGGTCATTTGTCCCTGATGTGGTTGAATACCTGCGGTAGTTCCTGTGGCACTCTATAAGCCTTGGCATCCAGCTCACAGGAGGAACACTGCCTGGGGATGAAATACCATTAATCATGTCTAAGAGGTGTTTCCAAATGCACTGACAGTCAGCTCCAATTAAATATTTATTCTCCTGACACGGAATGCTATTCTTACACTACTCAATGCAAAAGGTCACAACATATTTCTGTTTAAAATCTGAGAAGCCATGAGCTTTTGAAGTTGAAATCACTTCCTGCATGATTTTTTCCAGATAGCTTTGCAACCTTGATACAACTTGTAGTTTGCTTTTTTTTCAAAAACTTATAATAATGTATTCTGGAAAAGTAAAAGTTCTTACCATCAGACTTAATCTTGTCCCATTGTATAGTATTGGAAGGATCCAGAATCCATCTGTGCTTGGTAATGTTGCAGCCTTGATTGAAATGCTGTTACAGATGCAGTTAATTCAAGTGTGAAGTATCATTAGTCTTTGTCAAAACAGATTTTACTGGCAACAAAATCATTAATTGTTGGCACCATTGTTACATTGTTAATAATTTAAATCCATAATTATATGGTGTACATTAACTACTCAAAGCACAAATGCTGATGATTATCACGCTCAGCTATTGTCATTATGTAGCTTTCAACAGCAAAGAGTTTATATAGGCCTTAATGTGACACACATAGTCTTACAAAAATAATAAATAATATGACCAGATTGAGGAGGCTGCACTTGTAACAATTATTTGGCCTCTAATTGTGACCTAGCTGTGTACTGTCCCTTTACACTCATTTGCATAAGATGAGTTTATCTACATTATGAATCATCTGACATTAGATCTCTATTGTAATGAAGGATGTTCCTATTTCTCCTCTTTAACTCCTTGAAGCAGTGTAGGCAGCTAGTTCTGATGTAGTTTGAGTTCTGCAAGTACTCTTTAAGCGTTTAAATTTGGTAAGATGAATCTTATCCAGTGTTTCATACACAGTATGCAGTGTGCTAATTAAGTCTTTAAAATCTCCACAATTCACACTAAATGGTGCTGTCAGTTTTCTACTTCACGTCATATAAACAATCCTCAAGGATCCTTGTTTTAATCCCAGTAGCAATCTGTAGACACAGAAAATGAAGAGTTAGCCAGCACTTTTGAAGACCAGTGACCAGGTCTATCAATTATACTCTGTTAATGAAGATACAGCTGTGTGAAAAATACAGAAAAGATCAGCAGTAATAGATCACAGTTTCCCTGATTCTTTCTATTAATTCTTTTCAAGAACTCCACATTAGACATTCACAGTAGCTGATATTTATAAATATTAAAGACATTGACTCTAAGGAAGGAAACCACTTTCATAGAAAAAAAGAATTTATGAGTGAGATGAAATATGAAAATACACAGCAAAGCCAGTACCCCAAACTAGCCTGCAATCCTTAGACTACAGAAACAAAATTTACTTTACAGTTTTCAGGATGTTTAAAAATATATTTTAGACATATTATTTTTCTTCATAGAACACCTATCTTCATAAAATATCTATTTCAGTCAGATTTATGTAATCACAAGATTTCTAGAAGCCAAATTTTTTATATACCTTCTATTACAAATGTTGTTAAAATTCAGAGAATTAGCAGCATTATCAAGCGTTTACCCAAGACCAGAGATAATCTATATGTGTATAAGTTATGATTTTAGTTGTGTTGCCTAACCTGTAATATCGTTACATAAAATTATGAAGACGTGTTTACATCACAACTGTTTCAGAATGACAGTTATAATCTGATGATTAGTATCTAGAAATTTTAATGCAAATTTGCATTTTGGGGCCATTGCACTGGAATGAATCAGTTCCTTTGAATTATTCAAAATTATACAGTTACCAAAATAGATTTAAATTTTAACTATATGAAATTATTTTTAGATGAAATTCTGTAAATATATATATAACTCAGAACAATTTAGTGTATAAAATAACAAAAACATATTCTTTTAAATGCATTTATCCTTTTTGAAGTTCTGAGATGACAAAAAAAGGCTATATTTCAGTTTCTTTTTTTCAAACAAGGAACACTATTTATGTAACACTTGGATTAAACTGTTTAAGCACATCCTTAATTTCAGCATGTTTTAATTTCACTTAAATTGTTAAGATTTGAATGTATCCTTCTATATTTTACTGAGTATGAATGTCTTTAAGAGCATTCGAAATTCAAACATGCTTAAATGCTTTGCTAAACTAGAGGCTGTGTACTGCATCTGAAGATGCTACCCCATAAGATGAATTTGGACCAACTAAGTATTTACAAAGCTACAACATTTTTTATTATGGAGGTTTAATAACTCTTAGTTGTGCCTGTGAAGATGACTGGGCCAGGGATGTGGTAAATGCAGGCGGATAATCTCATATATTGAGGCCTACAGCAGAGTAACGCCGGTACAGAAAGCACGTTGTGAGTCTGCCTTATTTGTAACCAAAACAAAGTGTTCTCAAAAAACAGTTACTCTCCTTAGCACATCAGTTGTGTAGAAGTCCATGCTGGTTACAAGAGCACAGTCTCTGCTCTCCTCATCCACCTAGATATGGCACCATCATGGTTACCATAAGCAAGGTTTCAGCAGCTTCTGCATCTGTTCACCTCCCACCCGTGCATCTTTTGTACCAGCTGATCTCACGATTCCCATCTTAACAACTGCTGTAATTACAGCTTTAGCATACAAAGCAAGGCAAACAAGGCAAGGCAAGGGAAAAGCAAACTTCAGTGTAATGTTGTGTCCCTAATGACAGAAATGACCTGTTAGCCCAGCTACATTGTTAGCAGCAATTGCTGCAGTGTTATCATCATCAATAACAATCAATTCAAGACTAACATCTTCATTCTAAAAATATATTAGATAAGCATGTTAAAAATTAATCCTGTCTATAATGGGAATAGATTCAGCACACTTTTTATCCTTTTATTGGATTATTTTGAATAGCTATTTACTTGCCTTTTTGTACTGTTTAAAATCTGATTCAGTCCTATTGAACTATCTTTCCCTCAAGACAACTGCATGCATTTTTTGTGGCACCACAGCAATAGTTAATCACCTTTTCTGCTTCATGCTACTTGGAAATTCCTTGAGTATTTGAGCTGATTTTTCTAAAAGAATGATTGTGTCTTATGAAAGAATTATAATAAATGGCTGTTTCTTGGATCTTATAAACATGGTGACAATAGGGTCATTCTCATTTTTCATTCTTCCTTGAATTCCTTTACTTTAAATCTCAATACCTAAAATGACCTACCTACACTGCTGGCCACTTCCATGAGACCTAAGAGTCTTCTGATGAGAACAATTAAATATTTCTGTAAAATAAAAACCTGCAATATGTATGTTTTACTAGAAGCATATTGAGTAAATATAGACTATGATAGAAAGAAACAGAAAGATGTTATAAAGATCATTTAATCAACAGTGTCCTGATATTAATGACATACCTTTGGAATTAGCTGCTAAAATGGGTGTACAAGGCAACTCCAATTAATCTATACATCTATATTTCTTTTTTCTTTATAGAAAGCAGAGATTGCGGTTGCGCCTCTGACCATCACTTTGGTACGAGAAGAGGTCATTGATTTTTCTAAGCCTTTTATGAGTTTGGGGATATCCATTATGATCAAAAAGCCCCAGAAATCTAAACCAGGAGTGTTTTCCTTCTTGGACCCTTTGGCGTATGAGATCTGGATGTGCATAGTCTTTGCCTACATTGGTGTCAGTGTGGTCCTATTCCTAGTTAGCAGGTTTAGCCCATATGAGTGGCACACAGAAGAACCAGAGGATGGGAAAGAAGGACCCAGTGACCAGCCTCCCAATGAGTTTGGCATATTCAACAGCCTCTGGTTTTCCCTGGGTGCCTTTATGCAACAAGGATGTGATATTTCCCCAAGGTTTGTGTCAAATCTTTTTACATTTGCATTTTATCTTCAACACTGAAGCATAAAATTTTCCTTCATTTGTTTTCCTGGCAGTGTTTTGAAGCTCATTCTTCAGAAAGCCTTTTAATTTTTTTTTTTTTCTTTTTTAATAGCTATGATAAAGACATCACGAAATCTGCTTTGAATTTCAGTCGTTACTATTATTTTACATGTGTCATTGTGTATACACCACAAACAGCTCTCAGAAACAGCAGGTACACACAGGAGCAATTCCACTGAGTTGAATTTAGAGAAACTGTGTTGTTACTAATTTAGTTCCATTGTATCACAATTATGAAATGCACATTATTGTGCTGAATATTTGCCTTGCATGAATGAATGCCCCATTTCTGTTCCCTGTCAAGTTCTACAGCGCTTCCTCCAGAATATTGCTATCTACAAGAGAGAATATTTGACCGTTTCTGAGAAGCCACACTGTATTGCTAAGCCATGCCTTACAGATGTAATACATGATACCAGTCCTGAATTTCTCAGTCTTTTAAGATGTTCTGGAACTTTAGTCTGCAGTAGCTTCAACATCTTAATTAAACATAACTACCCAGTCTTTCAAACTTGAATGCTTCATTTTAGCCATTTACAGTGAGATTTTGAGTGTCCAGCATGGGCCTAACTCTGCTATTATTTAAGTTAGCAATAAAATTGATACTGATTAAGACTGGATGTACATTACTCCTCATCAGCCTTCTCATCAAATTACAGGTATTAAAATGGGAAATATAATTTTTTACTTAACTTAAATATCTCTATTGCCACAAAATGCTTGCTTCTTCAGTAAGAAAAATGTGAAAGTTCAAATGATTTCAGTAGCTTGTAGTATGTTTGACAAATTTGAGTGACGGGAACTTTTTAATCCTAGAGCAAACATAATCCCTGTGTAAAGACTTTTGTATCTTTTTTTTTTTTTTTTTTTTTTTAAGAGGAAACAGAGGAAGCTACTGACTTGCCACTACCATGCTTTACTTTTGTCTCCAGAAAGAGACTACCTATCTGGTATTTTTGACAAAACTTTTGCTAGAATAGGCTTCTACTGAAATAATACAGTGGACTCTATACTATAGATGTTAAGATTCAAGAAAAAAGGCATTTATTAATATTTAAAATGCAAATGTTCTCACTCCCACTGTTACTTAGTAATACATGTTTAGCCATAACACTGCCTTCTCTTTCTCTTCATGGTTTAAGAGACAGGAAAATGTGCATTATTTTATTCATGTTTAGATCCCTCTCAGGTCGCATTGTTGGAGGTGTCTGGTGGTTCTTCACACTGATCATTATTTCATCCTATACTGCTAACCTCGCTGCTTTCTTGACTGTTGAGAGAATGGTCTCACCCATAGAAAGTGCAGAAGACCTTGCCAAACAAACCGAAATTGCTTATGGGACACTGGACTCAGGGTCAACCAAAGAGTTCTTCAGAGTAAGTTGGCATGTCCATTAGAGCAGCTCTCCCTACTGACTGCTCTTATAAGATGCTTGGAATTGTGAAATACTGTTACTTTGCAATTATATGTAAATAGTTTGTAAGTCCTGAAATACTTCTAGCTATTTTTTAGCCTCACACCACCATTTGTTGGAGTTTTCAATTATTTTAATTTGTGGAAAGCTTATTGATCCTGTCACACTGGGCAAAAGAGATGGCCCAAGGGACATAGAAGTCAGTAATAATTAAAGCAGCATTGCCCTATTGATTCATTTGAAGCTACAGTACCAAAATGATGTGTAGCATTGAAAGCCTGTGATGATAACATGGAGTCTTGCAGGTTTTGTTTCTGCTTATGGATTTGGCTGTGTCCATTTTGCTTTAGGGTCTTGGGTGGTGGGCAAGAAATGCATATTTTAATTTGCTGACTTTCAGATGAATAATAAAGAGAAAATATATCTCAGGGGGATGTGATTGGAGCATTAAGGAATAGCCTAAATACCCATTCATATGTCTGCACTGTCTGTATTGATTACTTCATTTTCATTTGCTTTGCTGTGCTCGTGTGGTTGGTATGTAATCCTCATCATTTGCCAGCTGGAAAACAGGGCGCCTGAACATAACAAGGAGTACATAATAAACAGTCCCTCCTGCTTTGTTTCATGTCTCTAGCAGATGGAAGCTAAGCCTCGCTGACTGAAGGTGTGTGAGTTCAGTGTTTGAACATGGCTCTGAATAAATGCTGTGAGCCAGTAATCCTTCCTTGGAAATTATGCCATTTAGGAGCATGATTTATCTAAAAGATGCAGTTTAAGGCATTTTTGGAAGAAAGGAAGATGGAGTGTCTTGTGTCTGATTGAAAGGGGAGTGTTCTGTGTTAGGTACTACCACACACTTTGACTGCTTTCAGTTTGGCCACACTGAACTCAGTGAATCACTAAAAAAATTGCAGATGGGATTTGTGATCTATAGACAGTATCAATTCAAGGGCAGTTGCTGAGTGACCCCCAGAAGGTCTATACTGAAATAAACTTGTTATTGGAAGAGATATTCCCATAGAAGAATTTGGAAATATTTTCTATTAGCTGTAAAAAGATGATGCCTTAGCAGATAAAAATGGCACTTAACCAAAATGTAGTGATTGAGTCTTCACATAATGAAGTAGCCCAAGGAGTTTAGTCTAAGCCAGTTTTCTAGATTTCGTCTGTAGACACTGGAGGAAGAAGAGCACCCCTGGAATTCTGTACCGGACAAATCTGTTGTGTTGAAATAAATCACCTTTTAAAGTATCTTCCTCTTTGCACCACCTCTAGAAGGAAATGTCTAGAGTGCTTTGTAACTCATTTTTAATGGATACAGTTCAGTGACAGGTTTCTAACCACACTTTTCTTCTGTAGCCAGGGTTTTGCTATACACCTAAATATGATACTAAAGATGCTCTCTGGGAGCTTTATTTTTTACCCCAATTGGTAGAAACTCAGCTTGTGGTCCTTAGAAGCCCTGATTTCACACCAGATGTCTACAAAAATGGTGGTATTAAGGTATAGGAGCCTTGTCTGAGAATTGAAATATTTTGATCCTGAGATGGCCAGATATCCTATTTTCTTGAAGAGTGTAATCCCTCAGTACTCATTATTTATATGCATCTATGCTTAACCCATGTATGCTTCTCTAGCTCAGTTTGTTGATAGTTAGCTATTTAATTCTGGGAATTCCAGTTTCACTCCATCACAAGCTGAGGTGGCAACCACCATATATATATATATATGTATGAATAGTTATTTCAACTAGAATGAAGCTGTGATGATAGTTAAAAACATGATGCTGGGCATCAGAATGGTTTATTTAACTTTGGGTTTATTAACTTGTTGCGTTTTCAAGAGTATTCAGTGCTTACCATTTTTTTTTTTAAGTTTTGCTTAAATTCCCAAGGAAACAAGAAAGAATGAAGGAATGGGCTTGTTTTCTTAAGAGCTTCAAAACATGCAAGCCATTATTTTGAAGTAATGAGGTCAGGTCTTTTGACATAAAAGCAGCCTTGGTAACAAAATTTCATGTTTCTTCTAAATTATCCTGTAAACACAAACAATATTTTGTTCGAAACAATATTTCATGCAAGATCTGTCCTTAATGAGAAGTTTCTTTGTACATCTATAATGACAGAGTTAAGAGAAACAAAGAAGGGAAATCAAGGTTCTCATTATATTTTTTCCTTTATTTCAAAATACAAAGGGAAACATTAAAAGTTGCATATGCAAAAGTTGAAGCTTTATCTGTTTAGACTGCTGATCCCTTTTTTAAAATGGTGCAACTGAGGTCCTGTTATCAAATGATTTCTAATCTCTGAAACAGTATAGTGATTTTTAATAATATTGGATGAGCTATTTTGAAAGATATTTTTCACAAAACAGGGACAAAAATAAAATATCAACAAACAATAGTTGCACAAACACTGTTTGCATAATACATAAATTTAGACCCAGCCTGCAACAAAAGTACAAGAAGACTCGTTTCCCAAGTGTAACATTTTGTGTAGTTGGAAGCAAACATCATTATTTTGGGGTTTAGAGTCGTGTAACTTTTCTGTCAGTGATTACTATCTGGCTGGAGATGAGCCTTTAGGACATTTTCTCATCATTTGATCATTTCTGATCAAAATATCAGAAACTCTGCAAGGCTATTCAGACTGCTTTGATTCCAGGTTGAAAACACAGAAGGGGAAAGTCATTTTGAAGCCAACATAAAGAAAAAGATTTTGATACTATTAGTTATTTACTCTTATTTTCTGTTTTGGACACAGTGAGAGATGCATTTTCTGAGCATCTTGTTCAAGATGGAAAGAACTTAGTTTTATCAGTCCTACTCAGAAAACGCCCTCAATTAAAAATACGCTAGCTTGGCTGACTGCAGGGGAAAGCTGTAGTTTTTTCCTCATATAATAATAAGAAATATCTGCTGGTTCACTCTCAGTTTTCACTCTCATTTAACATGTGGCAATTGAATGTTAATAGATGGAAGTTGGGGAGAAGAGAATGTTCTTACAGAGCAGATGCCTTGTTAGACTTTCCATATTTTTTTTGTCTCTTAATGGGCAAAAGAAACTAGATCTTAAAAAAATACATTTAAATGCAACCTTTTCAATTCATTTAGGGCATTGTTTCCTCTTACTAGTAGAGCTATTTTATGTGTTGTGTGATTTTAATTTTGAAGGAAAATGACTTGTTATATGTTTACTTTATAAAGAGTCTGGTCATACTGATGTTAATATGTAAAAAAGTTACTGAAGTGAAGGCAGACAAAGGCAAGTAAATATTCTTGAAATGGTGCTTGATTGATTACTGCTCTCTTCTATTTTTTTTTTCTTTCTGTAAATCTAAATCCATGAAGTTCTAGCAGCATAAAGCAAAAACAATACACAAGTGGCTTAGCTTCTTGTCTGCTCTCAGCCACTATTATGTAAATTAAAAGTAGTTGTGAGTACAGTGGAAAGAGGGTTACGAGGCAGGATGTAATAATGGACATATACATCTGTTGTTAATTTAAATTTTATTATATTTGACAGAAAGATAAAGTGATGCATATAGACAAACTAAACATGCAAAGATAATTTATGTTTTGCTATATGGTATTTTTATTGGACATTTGTGGTTAAATGCCACTTTACTTTCAAGTGAGACCAGCCTCCTTAACTAAGTATTTTCTGTGTAACAATACAATCATTCAATAATTGGTAGAAAGAATTGCTTCAGGGAAATTACTTTTACTTATACAAAGGTTAGGTTGCATGCTTTTTAAAGCCATTGTCTATTTAATTAATAGTTAGATAATAGGCTTTTATATTTCTTTAAATATTCTAAGGCCCTTTGTTTTGGAGCTTTATAGAATCATAGGATTATAGAATGATTTAGGTTGGAGGGGACCTTAAAGATCATCTAGTTCCACCCCCCCTGCCATGGGCAGGGACACCTCTCACTAGACCAGATTGCTCAAATCCCCATCCAACTTGTTGTTAAACACCTCCAGTGATGGAGCATCCACAATTTCCCTGGGCAACCTGTTCAAGTGTCTCACCACCCTCGTAGTGAAGAACTTCTTCCTTACATCTAATCTAAGTCTACCCTCTTACAGTTTGAACCCATTACCCCTCATCATATCACTAGACACCCTTGTAAAAAGTCCCTCCCCAGCTTTCCTGTAGGCCCCCTTCAGATCCTGGAATGCCACAATAAGGTCTCCCAAGAGCCTTCTCCAGGCTGAACAACCCCAACTCTCTCAGCCTGCCCTCATAGGAGAGGTGCTCCAGATCTCTGATCATCTTTGTGGCCCTCTTCTGGAACCGCTCCAATAGGTTCATGTCCTTCTTGTATTGGGGGCTCCAGAGTTGGACACAATATTCCAGATGGGGTCTCGCAAGTGCAGAGTACAGGGGGAGAATCGTCTCCCTCGACCTACTGGCCACCATTCTTTTGATGCAGCCCAGGATACAGTAGACTTTCTGAGCTGCACTCGCACATTGTTGTCTGATTTTCAGCTTTTCATCAACCTGCACCCCCAAGTCTTTATCCTCAGGACTGCTCTCAATCCATACTCTGCCCAGCCTGTATTTGTGCTTGGGCGTGCCCCAGGCCAGGTGCAGGACCTTGCACTTGGCCTTGTTGAACTTCATGAGGTTTTCATGGGCCCACCTCTCCAGCCTGTCAAGGTCCTTCTGGATGGCCTCTCTTCCCTCCAGTGTGTTGACTGCACCACACAGCCTGGTGTCATCTGCAAACCTGCTGAGGGTGCACTCAAACCCACTGTCCATGTCACTGACAAAGGTGTTAAACAGCACCAATCCCAGAAGTGATCCGAGAGGAACACCACTCATCACTGGTCTCCACTTGGACATCAAGTTGTTGACTGCAACTCTTTGAGTGTGACCGTCCGTCAAGTGGTCCATCCATCAAATCCATGTCTCTCCAATTTAGAGACAAGGGTGTTGTGAGGGACAGTGTTGCATGCTTTGCACAGGTCCAGGTACGTCAGTTGGTCTTCCCATATCCCCTGACACTGCAACTCCATCATAAAAGGTCATCAAATTCATCGGGCACAATTTGTCCTTTGTGAAGCCCTGCTGGTTGCCACCAGTCACCTCCTCATTTTCCATGTGCCTTAGCAGAGCCCTCAGGAGGATCTGCTCCATGATCTTTCCAGGCACAGAGGTAATACTGAGTGGCCTGTAGCTGCCCAGGTCTTCTTTTTTTCCCTTTCTCAAAATGAGGGTTATGCTTCCCCTTTTGCAGTCAGTGGGAACTTCACCAGACTGCCAGAACTTTTAAAATATGATGGAAAGTGCCTTAGCTACTTCATTCACCAGTTCCCTCAGGATGGATCTTGTCTGGTCCCATGGGATTTGAACATCTTTAGGTTCTTTAGATGATCTTCACTTACAGTGGATGGATCTCCCTTATCCCAGCTGCTCTTTGCCTTCTGCAACTTGGGCAGTGTGGCCAGAGTCCTTGCCAGTGAAGACTGAGGCAAAGTAGCCATTGAATACCTCAGGCTTATCCATATCTCTCATGACCATATGTCCTGTTTCCTTCCAAAGAGGGCCTGCATCTTCCCTAGCCTTCCTTTTATCACTGATATACCTATAGAAGTTTTTATTGTTCCTCTTGACATCCTGAGATGGCAAAGCTTCAACTTACTCCGTGGGAACTGCCCTGGCAGCTGCTGCACCAAGCCGTGTTTGCCCGCTCTGTAGCACGGGCTTCCCCAAGGGCATCTTTTATGGGCGTGGGGGTGGTCACCATTGTCCTGGCAATGCTCAGGTCTCATCAGCCTCTCCTGCCAGAGCTGCTGGCTTCTAGTGGGTCTCTCTGCTCTTGGGTGCTTCCCTACCAAAGGGAAAACCTCGGGAATCCCCCTGTACACCAAAATTTGCCACTCTGCTGCTGGCTGGGCAGTTCCCAAAGCAGCTGATCTCAGTCACTGTTACACTAATTAATATTTTCCTGGAGTGCTCAGCACAGTGCAGGAATGGGCTCATAGACTAGATCTTGCTTAGCTAGAAACTCCCATTGACTCAAATGAAAGCTGACTTGAGCACTGGGTTGCAAAGTCCTTTTTGCAGGATGCATAGGAGAAGACAAGTGCCATCTGTTATGGAATAGGAACACTGCAGTGTTCAGCTCTGTGCTGCTGGTCTGCATGGATGCATCCCTGTTGCAGGAGGAAGCAAAAGAGTTCTTGACTGAATCTAATGAGCATGGGGGGCTTCTCGGCTTGACAGCATTTCCTTCCTGCCTTTCAGTTAAAGTTTTTAGTTTTAATTGGATTTTATTTTTGCTCTTTTTGCTTAAGTCTTTACTTGTGTTTGCACCATGCATTGCCAGACAGAAAAATTTCCAACTAATGCACTCGAAGCCATGAATTCTTGCACATTCTTCAAGCAAGCACATTTCTTACTCAGTTACTGGCAAGATCAGACTCTTTAAAGTACATCCACTGATACTGAGAAGGAACAGTTTAAAATATAACTGCTGATACCGAGGTTCTAAAAGCATACCTAATACTTCTTTAAGACAAATACTTAGGGTGTATTTTTTTCTGTTAATAGTACATTTTGTCCAGTTGCTCTTTTCATCTTTTATTGTGAACCATGTCTTGAAATTTTCTGCAACCTTTCTGAATGTAAATTGGGTGAATTATGGACTCTGGATTATGAAAGTAGAAATCTTGTTTAAGTTATTGTGGTTTTGATGGTGTAAGAAGTGGGTGTTAGAGCTGAGAAATGCTTCAAGATTCAGCTCAGTATTTATGGGAAGATTATCTTGTTTCTCTTTCCCATACAGGTTTATCGTGGATATATATTTAATATATAATTCCTTAAAACACACTTTACAATACCTTGACTGTGTGAACTGCCTCTGTCTAACAGTAAATTCAGGTTTTAGCTTTGCAGTTATTTTATTGTGACTGCTTGAGACCAACTGGACCTGAAAATATTACCCGATTTTATAGTATCGATACTGTTATTTCTTGTTTCTTTTAAAATAATAATGGAATTCAAAGCAAATCCTTATCGAGTGTGATTTTCCAAACGCACCCCATGATTTTCCCCCAGAGTTGTTTAAAAATTAAGTATGATTGGTTTTGTTTTGAACAGTGCCATTCTGAAATGTTGCTACGTTCTTTTGTTCTAACTTCTTTTTAATTTCCTCCAGAGATCAAAAATAGCAGTGTATGAAAAGATGTGGACCTACATGAAATCAGCTGAGCCGTCAGTGTTCACTAGGACTACTGCAGAGGGAGTAGCTCGTGTCCGCAAATCGAAGGGCAAGTTTGCCTTCCTGCTGGAGTCCACCATGAACGAATACATTGAGCAACGAAAGCCGTGTGACACCATGAAAGTGGGAGGAAATCTGGATTCGAAAGGCTATGGCGTAGCCACACCGAAGGGTTCTCCATTAAGGTGGGTGGAATAGTATAACAATATAAAATGTGTTGTTATAGTATTCCACCTTCCCTGATGTCCCTGATATAGCTCTTTTTGTTTTGTGTGTGAACATGGTATGTTATTTTTCTTTTCTTCCATTTCAATTTTTTTTGGTCGACAAAGGTAACTATTTCTAATTGCAACATGGATTTAGCAGCTACAGTTGGCATATCTTTCAAGGCCATATAAAAACCAAACTGGTTGAACACTAGCTACTTGAAGTCAGCCTCAATAAAATGAACATCAGCTATTTTATCTCATCAGCTTCCTTCACCAAATTCAACCCTCTATAGCAGTATTATGCCTACATTATTTGCATCAATAATTGTCTACCTTTTATGTTTTGTTTATTGATCTTGGCTGCTAATTTCTTGAATAAGAAGGTGCTTTTAACAGCTTTTTTCAAATGTCATCACCAGGAGGCAATTAGTCCTCCATTAAAGCAACTTCATCGAAGTACCTCTTGTGAAAGCATCTTCTTATTTAGAAAAAATAAAAGTTTGTGTTTCTAGCATTATGCATTTCAGTACTGCCTTCAAACTCAACAGTATTTTCTTTATCATGGTATCAGATGCATTCAGTCAAGTAGGGTAGTTTTTGATTCAAAGACAGAATATTATTCACTTTTCATTCAAATTGTCAGGGAAACAGAAGTGAAGGTACTAGTTCTGTGTTAAAATTAGCACTATTCGTCATTTTGTTGTTTTTAATGTTTGAGGCAAACAAAACTTGCTTTTTCTGCTGATATACTTGCCAATTTTCCTCAAAGCAAAAGAGCAAGTAGCAGGTAGAGAGAGTGTGGCCTGTGGAGCCTTATAGCAATAGGGCAAATGTCGTAGGGGGTAAATAGGGCAAAAAATAGGAGAGAAGGAATGGCCCACAGGACAGCCAGCACCAAACTTCTCAAATTTGTGCTCATAGTAAGGGATTACAACAGGTTCTAATGAAATAGATTCACAGAGGAGATGAAGTGAGTTGAAGGGAGGAATTGCAAGTGAAGATGGAGCCATAGTCCTGTGCAGGACATAACTAAGGAGGTACCTGTCTACGTCTGTGACTGCAGAGGAGACATCACTATCACTATGCAGATAACTAGACTCACTCATTGCTCACCAGTTTAACCTGCACATAATAACACAAACCTCAATAGCTTTAACTCTATTACACAGTATCATCAGTCATCTCCATCTCCCGCAAGAGAAGATTTGTATTTGCAGGCAAAAATCAGGCCAATTATTTCAGTTATTGAATTAAAAATTTTGGTCCTTTTGAGAGATTCAGTATCTCTCAGGTTTAAAAACTGCCACCTTCACTGTTGAATAAAGGAGTAAGAGAACTTAAGGAGGTGAGAGGGAAAACGACAACAATAAAAATATTAATTATAAAGCAAAACATGTCCAGAACTCATGGGGTTGTTAAAGGTAGAAGGCAGCAGACAACAGGAGAGACTGATTTAGTATCTGCGTGTATTTTGAAAGCACTTATATTTTATTTTATGCTCCTAACAGATTACTGTCTCCTTCTCAGTGTTTCAGAGAACCTAGAAGTGGTAGGCAGCACTGCAGTTTAGTGGAGCTACTTCCCCATAGTAAGGAAGTGCCCATTGCTGACACAGTCATGTTTTAATCTGCCAGAGCTGGGCCAGACTTTTAGGAATCACTTTAGCCGTTGTCATCTGTCCTATATATCCTAGCAGTGGGCTGTTTTCTCTAAGCATGCTTTATGGTGCTCTTTAGTTCCTCTCATGTTTTTCTGCATAGTATCCAACACCAACAAGAGACAGCATGTTATAATGAGCACTAGCAGCCAGTGGAATTTGGTTTGTGTCAAATTTGGGCTTACTTCAGGTTTGTTATGTTGGCTAGATAAATATATCTACGAGTAATGGGGATGAGAGATAAAGTAGTTGGAAGGAAAAGGGCCTAGTCAGACAGTTTAATAAGAACAGAGAGGAAGAGCACAACCATGATTGTAAGGATCAAATGTAAAATCCTGGTTCTCTCCCAGCTAAAGACCAAGCACCACAGTTTGGTCTAACTGGAGTTTGGCAACTATCATTAGGATGATGTGATCAAAGGCATTTAGTTTTTCACACCCTACCTTCAAATGTGTTTTAAATGGGGAAATAGGGAAAATCCTACCTAACCTGAGAATTGGACCAAATCTTCTTTCAAGCTGTTTCGACTGGCTGTCCATGTCCATGCCTTTCCCAAGCCTTTCTTTCACATGTGCTGAGCTGCTTGTTCACCTGCTGCACCCCATTCCTTCTCCAGCCCCAGTGACTCACCTCAGGCAACACATCGGTGCTGCTTACCTGTTAAAAACATTAAGGAACATACTTAATGTTCTGGACAAAATTAAGAACAAGCAATACCTCACATTCATACCACCCCTTCCATGTATGTCTATAGACAGTAGTGCTTACTTAAGAGGAGGAAAGCTTCCTAACCATGTGTTTTTGAACAGAAAAGACTCAATGATAAATTTTAACTGCATGCTTCAATATTTTCTGTATTGTTTGAAATTGTAGGATATGCTGGGTTTGCTATTTTGGCTGCATCCCACATGGTAGTGTTTCTGTTACTGATCAGCTGAGTCATGTAACTTATGCCTGCACAGATAATTGCAAATATTGAACATGCAGTTTGAAATCCATGAAGGGCGGACTAGCAAAACTCATTATATAAATTAATCAAAAGACATAATTTGCTATGGGAGTTATGAATTCCGTATTTTATTTAATAATCATAATTTTCTATTTGAGTTAAGTGTAGACCACAAATTAATTGATGTAGTTCACAAATAAATGCAAGTAGCATATAAATGTTAAACATTCCCACTCTATTCTTGGTCTATTCAGGACTAGGGAAAAATAACACTTTTTTCAAATGAATTATTCATATCAAATTATTCACTAAACTCTTTGAACATGTATTTCACTAGAGGTATTTTAATCTTAATCCTTCCCGTACTTATAGTGATTATAAATCAGGATTTTTTTCATTGAAAAAGTGATAACAGCTGCATAAAATTGATGTGAGTGTTCAGAGAACCAGACCATATATTTTCATGCATATAATACTGACAGAAAGTGGAGTAATCTGTAATCAGATTTCTTCCTATAGCATAGGACTAGAAATGGTTCCCTGCCGTCACATCATGGGGCTCATGTTCATTACAGAGCACATACCCATCACGTTGCTCGTGTAGATGAAATCCACTGGTCAGAGACTGGACCAGGGATTGGTCTCTCTGTTGCTCATGGCTGTACACATGAGTAGGGTAGTGGATTTTAATTTGAAATTTTTCTTTATTGGGTTCTATACTACACTCCTGCAGTGTTCAACCAGTACCTATTGGCTAATTGGAATGATTTATTCTCAGTGCTGGTGCAGTATTAAGATTCATGCATATCACTGGATGGAGGAGAAGGGGAAATACTTGATGTGTGGTTTTTTTATGCCCACTGCATTACACATCATGTATGTCTCCTTCCTTCCTTCCCAGTGATATTAAGTTCTGTATAATACTATAAAAAACTGACATGTTTGAGAAGGATGTGGGATTGAGGGCAAAGGCTCTCGTCACAACAAAGACTGAGTTTCTCTCATGGCACTACCCAGCTGCTCTTAGTTTCCTCCTACCACGGTAGGTATCCTTCCAAAACTACTGTGTAGTAAGCAGTATGTATTAATGAGTTTTTTTCTTCAAAGGTGGTGTTTTCAAAGGTGGTTAAGAGAGTGCTGCTTGTCTGCTTAGCAAGACCTGCCTTTGCAAATGTGTTGTCATTAGAAGATGTTCTCATGGCCAGACTTCTGGCCATTGTGGTTCAACCCTGGCTCATCTGCCTTGCCACTTAAATAATCTGTGTTTCTGGAGAGCAACAGCTGGAGATGTTGTACTACACAAATTCTATGCTTTGCATGCCTCTGCTTTTCTGTTTTAGATATGTAGGCATCATAAACTATTTTGAATAGCGATGAACATGAAAGAGCACTCTAAGAGGTAACAAAAAAGGAAGCAGGGACAATATTATTTAAAGGTACACTAAAATATTTTTCGACTTTTTGTACCTTGAAGCTCTTTGATGCAAAGATGGATGACAGCTTGAGCTAAAAAATGAGGAGTTGTTGTCATTGTTTCTGTGACTATTTTAAGGACATTTGGCTGTCCTGTCCTGCAGCTGACAGTATGCAACATGAATGAGTGAAACCTGCTCAGGTCTTGAGTATCTGGTGAGATGCATTGAGTCCAATCAGACGAGAGTGGCAAGTTTCAATCTAGCCAAATAATAAACAACTGTTGTGAACAGATGTGTGGTTGTATTTTAGAGACTGGTGATGGTTGTTCACCAGCCTAATGAAATCCAGAGTTATATGAAGTTCCTGCTGTTGCAATTGTGGTTAATGTTTATAGATACAAATCTGGGATTCTATGTTTTGTCGTTCAAGTCTCTATCCTTTTTATGTAGTAAAGAAATAACTCGTCTGACTTTAGGAGGAATTTTGCAGAGGAAGGCAAAAAGGTCCAGGTGGTGATATCTGCTGGTTCCTTGCAGTGTGACAGCTGTTGTCATGAGCTGACTCTTCACGTGAAGGTGTCAGTTCCTTGTCCATTCTTTACTGTGTTTGTATTGGCATGAGGTGGGAAATGAGGGAAGAGATCAGTGAAGCAGGTGATGTACATGTATTTTTTCTGATCATTCTAGCAACTTGTGGAAAGTGCAAAGTGCAACATGAGTGAAGCTGTGGGTTATAGTTTCCATCTCTTGCAAGGGAGGAGTACCCAAGAGAGTGTTTGGGGTGCCAAAGGCATCCATCCCAGTGATGCCCTGTCAACATTGTATGGATTCTTCTGGTTTATATAAGTGTGCAATACCTGAAAGAGATTCGCCCCAGAAGTGAGGGGTCTGGGATGGAGGGAACTTCTTATTGATGGAACGTGTGAGTTTATGTTAGTCAGGTAAAGGTCTATTA